AACCAGGGGTAGCTGCACCATAGATAGTTCTAGATTGTAGCCGGTAGACTGGACTTCGAGAGTCTCCACGGCTCTCTGCCCTGGTCTCCGTTTAGATACGGACAATGCTAGGCGAGTCATATCAAGGAAAAAGGAGATACGAAGATTCGCTATAATGTGTGATCGTATCGTATGTCGATCTGAGAAGTTTGCTACGATACGGGCCGTCGAGTAGGTTTATCCACGCGGCCTTCTTGTGATCTAATCGGGAGGGATGGGATCGTCATAGGGCATCGGTATACTCACGCACGATTGCTATGGAGAGGGTGCTGAAGGGAGATGAGTTAGAGGGCAACGAGTGAGAAAGGTACAATATCCTCTCTTAGCATTTGTATCAAAAGTATAAGAGCGGATAAAGTCAGTATTAGAATAGGTATTAATATCCTCAAGGCTTAGGGAGGTTAGCTTGTCAAAGGCATAGAAAGCGCGGGGGGGGAGGATGGGGGATAGTTGGTAGTGGATAGTGGATGGGGGATAGTTGGTAGTGGATAGTGGATGAGGGATATATGTTAATTTATGCTGTATGTGTATACAGTATGTATATGATTATCTAGTAGTTCATAATTTGATATTAGTCACTAGATATAGATCTAGTACCTAGTATGATATAAATAAAATAAAATAAGAAAAATAATATATTACCGCCCTAGGCGCGCGCGTGAGGGTAATCGGTTCACTGGTTAGTTCGTTGGTTGATTGATCGGTTGGTTGAAACAGCAAATAAATAGATTAATCTTACTGATCCATATATATACCTAGGTATATACCTAGGTACCGGTATATATATAATTAAATATCTATTCGTATTTAAGTTTCATAATAAAGTGGATTAATCTTATTACTTAAAAATACTCGAGTATATAGTTGGTTAGATGTTAGACGATTAGAAAAAAAAGCTAGTTATATAGCGCTATTATAATTACTTGAGATGATAGATGGTAGATAATAGATTGATAATAGATTGATAGAGAGTGAGTACTAGTATACAGAGTATGAAAGTATTTGTGTGTAATTAGGTACCTAGTAGCTACATACCTATCTAATAACTACCTACCTAATATGATACACCTGAGCATCTAGGTACTATTAAGTACCTAGTAAGTACCTAGTAAATATCTATAAAGCTAAATTCCTTTGGAGTTAAAACTTCATACAAACAAACAAACAAGCAAGCAAGTAACTGTTTGTGTTGGATGCTACCTACTTGGAGTACCTACTATGATTGGAATTAAGAACAATACGAGGCGCTTACGCTTACGTCTATGCTTATAGTGGATTCGCGGAAGTATGCGGTAAATTTGGAAAGTTTGAGATTGAGTCATAATCTTACATTAGGTAGATATATGGGGTTTTAGAGGATGTTGAGCATGGGATGGAGATGGGGATACATTATTCTTTCAAGAATAAAATGAAGGCTGAGGAGGGGATTTTGTGAAGAGAGAGGCAGAAATAGAAAGGTGTGGATCGGATTGAACTGTTGGGATGATATAAATGGGCAGTTGAATGTTGGGATGGACTTGAGATGATGTGTAAAGCATGATGCTTGTGAAGATTTGCTGAATACAAATGGCGCTTAATGGTACATGCCCCTGCTGACCATGCGATTTCTCATATGGAAGATAGAGACAGAGAACTAACCATTTCAACAACTCGCAAAACCATTACTTCAACAGAGCTGAAGATCTTGAGAATAAAGGCATACACCACAAGTTGCACACCCATAATGTCAAGATCTTTGTTCAATTTTTCCTGATATCATAACGTATTCGAAAATTGAAAAAAAACGCCAGGCCAATTTGTGGTGCCCTTTTCCTAAACACCGCTTCACCTCATTATCACTTGTTCTCTTTCGTATCCCCTCCTTTGTTACATGGAAGCCTTCATCAAATGTCGAAGAGCTGTTCGAACCATCTGTGGGTGGAAACGAAACAAAACATTTATTGGGTCTTGAAAAGGAGAATCGCGCAATGGCCGAGGTAGAAATAGATGAAGTGTTTTGTTTCTTAGAAAAGTCAGATAGGGACGACAAAAATACTAAAGCTTGAGGGGAAAAGTACCATGGGTGACAAATGACCCAAAGTTTCGTCCTACGATACAATGCCATGTTGGGCCTCGTTTCTCATCGAACTGATGTGAATTTTTAGCACCTAATCCTTTGTTTAATGTATTGGCGCAAGACTTATAGACGTACAGCTTTCTTGATGTATTGTGCGATGTCCTAAGTAGATCATATCAATATGTGAAGGAGGTCATACAAAACTTATAGGTGAGCTATCTTACTTTCTCAACGGAATGTTTAGCCATAGCTTGTCGGCCTGTATGCACCATATCAGTATCTCGCACATGTATTCGATCCGCCCCCGCCGTTACCCGGTGGCATGGCATCGGTTGGAAAGGCCCAACGTACAAACTTCAATAGCCTCATCTGACATGTCGTCGCTCTATGATTAACTTAGTTGCCGCCACAGATTCTCGCATAGATTCTAACCAACTCACCATATCGACCGACTTAATTTGAGCTGCGATTCATCATGGTTAGCTAGGATATGACAAAAGAGCTTCGAACGGTTGAAGAAAGGTCTTTGGGGGTCGAGACTTATGCATACCCGCGAGGCTTTCTTCCGGTTGTTGTGGAGTTGCCATTTTGGTTATTGAGATGCGATGCGAATTCGTTTTGTAAATATGTAATGGAAAAGTGGTAGAGTTATCGAGATATGGGATTGTTCTTCTAGAATACAACGGGAGGTGTGGAGAAAGGAGGAACAGAGAAAGGCTGATAGTTTAGCCGAAGTTTTACAAGGCAAGGTACAAGTACGAGATAGTTAATCTAGTGGCAGGATATATATATGGTACTAATTTGGAAAAGAAAATAGAAGAATAAAATACGATAGTGAGCAGCCTAGATAATAAGTACTATCCTAGTTTCAAAGAATATTTACTTATGCAGAGGAGGTTGTATTTTTTTCGATTTTCTGTAATCTTATTTGATTTATTTGACACCTAGGTAATTAGTAAGTACCGGTACTGGTGGTACCTGCCTATCGGGCATGTCTACGTAGTAGATTTCCGTTCCGGATTTTCTTGCATCGGGGTTTGAGCACGGATCATCATGTGGTGCTACAGATTTAAGCTCAAGGCTAAGGAAAAATGTGCTAGAGTAGGCTCCGCTGCGGATTTCATTCCCTTGAAAAAAAATTATTTGATCATCGAACAAATTCACCTCAGAACCCTTCCAAACGTACTCTTGCGCCGTCATACTTCATCACATCGAATCAATGCACTGAAAACATTACGATATACACATAGACTTACATTATCTACCATCAAACATGGCTTCTTCACGTATATTCATAAAGGGCCTTCCTCCAAATATCACCGAGGATGAATTCAAAACACATTTCGGCGCGAACCAAGAAATCACAGACGCAAAATTGATCTCTCACCGGAGAATTGGTTACATTGGATATAAAACACCAGAAGAAGCTGTAAAGGCGGTCAAATATTTTAACAAATCATTTGTACGATTGTCGAAAATCGGCGTGGAAATTGCTCGACCTGTAAGTAATTTTTCCAAAGAAAAAAAACGAAAAGAAAAAACAAATGTTCATAACATGGATATTAACACCATTGAAGATATCGGATTCTTCCCTACCTATATCGAGAAAAGTACAACGTGAACAAGAACGGGAAAATAATAAGATCAGACACCTCAAGCAGGAGGCTGATGCCAAAGCCTCAGAAAGTCTTAATACTGGAACGAAGAGAAAACGAAGTGATATCGATGCAGCAGATCCTAAATTACAGGAGTTCTTGGAAGTCATGCAACCCGCTTCGAAGTCAAATTCGAATATGTGGAAAGCCGGAGCCATGGATGATGATATTGAGGAACCACCAATGAAGTTACAAGCCATTGAAGTACCAGAAGGAGAAAGCGACGACGAATACCAATCAGTACCTAGTAAATCTAAGAAGGCTCCTGCAAAGCCCATCGACCCTCAAGTACCCGCAGCGCCGGCTGCACCAATTACCTCAGCTATTACTTCCGATAATGCCGACCCAACGGACGAGGTGATGGTCGATACACCTTCCAATAACGTTGAGGCCACAGATGATGATTGGCTAAGAAGTCATACGAGTCGGTTGTTAGATATAGTGGATCCGGAAGATATAATCTCCAAGACACAAAACTTAGACGTTAAGAATGTCGAGGAGGTGACGGCAGAAAAAGCAGAACCCAATCCACCCGTTGAAGATATGGTTGTCGATGCCGAATCAGAAGCTATGGAAGAACAGCCGGAAAATCCAGCTTCAGAACTAGATGCGACAATTGAAACGATCAAGGCTAGTGGACGACTATTCGTGCGAAACTTACCATATAGCGCAACGGAGGATGATCTGCGGAAGCACTTTGAACAGTATGGAGCTCTAGAAGAAGTAAGTAAAAATGCTTGTTGGCATGTTTTCTTTTTCTCTTGGCTTCATGATGAATATCCAGATAGGGACAGCTTATGCTTTCGAGCATGTGATGTGAACTGGTCGAATATTTTAGTAGATGCTTCGTCTTTTCTGAAAGCTACCATTAGTCATTTTTATGTCTTTGCAATTCGCAATAGTATAGCTCACTGACGAAAATGTCTAGATACACTTGCCTGTAGATGCCAAAGGTGCCAGTAAAGGGTTTGTGTTGGTTCAATACACGGACCCAAATGCTGCTGCTGAAGCATATCATAATGTAGATGGCGAGCCTTTTCAAGGAAGGTTATTGCACATATTGCCTGCTGCAGCTAAACGAGACAATAAGCTAGATGAGTTCGCCATAGCGAAGCTTCCATTGAAGAAGCAAAGACTTCTCAAGAAGAAGGCTGATTCTTCCTCAAACACTTTCAATTGGAATTCCTTGTATATGAATCAAGATGCTGTCAATTCATCGGTGGCTGAACGTTTAGGGGTATCGAAATCCGATCTTCTTGACCCAACTTCTGCAGATGCTGGAGTCAAGCAAGCTATTGCCGAGACTTCGGTCATCCAAGAAACGAAATCATATTTCGCAAACAATGGAGTCGATCTTGATGCGTTTAAGAAACGGGAGCGTGGAGATACTGCTATATTGGTCAAAAATTTCACCTATGGCATGACTCTGGAAGAACTTCGGAAGACGTTCGAAGAGTTTGGCCAGGTTATCCGTGTTCTCATGCCTCCGACTGGTACGATCGCAATTGTTGAGTTTGCACAACCAACACACGCAAGAGCAGCATTTGCCAGCCTTGCATATCGACGTATGAAAGATACAGTACTTTTCTTAGAGAAGGCGCCCAAGGACCTCTTTACTGGTCCTGCGCCTAGTCAACCAGTGGCAACAATTGACAGGAATGCGGGTAAAGCAGCAGATCCTAAATTCTCAACATCTGATCTGCTCGAAAGAGAAAGTGGCGCTGAAAATGTGGATACAACTACCTTATTCGTTCGCAATCTTAATTTCAGTACCACAAGTCAACGTCTCACGGAAGTTTTCAAGCCCCTTGATGGCTTTCTATCGGCACGCGTTAATACGAAGACGGATCCGAAGAAGCCCGGCCAAGTCCTTAGTATGGGTTTTGGCTTCATAGAATTTAGGACCAAATCTCAAGCACAAGCGGCAATCAAAGCAATGGATGGATACACACTTGATAACCATAAATTGCTAGTCAAGGCTTCTCACAAAGGAGCCGATGCTGCTGAAGAGAAGAGGAAAGAAGACAGGGCTAAGAAGTTGGCAGGCAAACGCACGAAGCTCATTGTTAAAAATTTACCGTTCGAAGCTTCCAAATCCGATATTCGCAAACTTTTTGGTACGTATGGACAGCTGAGGTCGGTGCGCATGCCCAAGAAATTCGACCACTCAACACGTGGTTTCGCTTTTGCAGACTTCATTACGGCTCGTGAAGCGGAGAATGCACTAGAGGCTCTTAAGGATACTCATCTTCTTGGCCGTCGTTTGGTCATCGACTTTGCATCCGAAGAAACTGTTGATGCAGAAGAAGAGATTGAAAAAATGCAGAAGAAAGTTGGATCACAAGTCGATAAAGTTGCCTTACAAAATCTTACTGGAGGAGGCCGCAAGAAATTCAATATTGAAGGCAACGACGCGGATCTAGATTGAGGAAACTCACTATAGGTATTTATCAATAATTTGCATATTCTATTAAGATCAAATTCCATGAATTATATTGTTCGCAAAATGGCAAGTGTCTATCTCCCTTGCCGAATCTACACAAAAATCGACTTAATGGTACCCCTGCACAGAATACCCTCGATGGAAAACCCTTTCATACTTGAATGGAAGGGAAATTATTCCTCTAAATCCAATAATTGATTTAGTCTAAAGTTCTCCAACGTAGGGATTATTTGCTGTGGTAAGGTTAAAGGTGTTTTTCAATATGTTCTGCTGGTATCATCAACTTTTTACTCCCTCCCTTCGTGGGTGCCATACAAAGAAAGGATGCGATATCATCCTATGTGGTGATTATTTATTTCCCATTTAAAACTGTGCCTGGATTGTTCATCACAATCATACTTGTAAGCCTTTGAGAAAATTGGTGAAGAGGAAATTGCATGCTCGCGCAAAATGAAGCATTCCTCACGTTGCTGTGACTTCCCCCGCAACGTGATTTCCTTGCATTGGTGAGATCAGAGGTGGGGCTATTTTTGGCCTTTGAGCTCTGCAAGCTTTGTGGCGTTGCAAACGTTTACCTGGCTGTTAATGAAGGTAAATCTGGCTGATCCTCATCGAAACCGCCCTGCATCCTAGTCATATACATTCAATATACTTCACCTCCTTAATAAGCTGCCAGGGCCTCTTCTACTTCATTCTTAACCTTGTGTCATTCCCTCGTGTAAATTCAGTCTAAGCTTCGCTGCCATTCCTCCAAACATTTTTCATAGCAATCTTGATTCTTCATCGGCCACAAACGCATTTTTCCTGCACAGCCTACCTTGATTTTGCTTGCGAATGCTACACTGACTGGAATTTCGAACACATCGAAGCATTCTCGAACCTCAGATTATACCATCTAGTCGATGGAAGATCCCCGTAATACTTTGCCATCAGGATATCCATCGCAACAGCTTCAGCTGGACGAATCCAGTGGGCTATCGAGGCTCAAAGAGCCTCTTTCAGATTCTGCGGGTAACGCTCAGCTTCACGAGCTGGCGTCGGTACATATATATCATGATAATAAGAGACACTCGATGAGGGGACAAGAAAGGTCAATGTATTCTATGCCTACTCTACCATCACAGCCTCTGCGCCCACCTGTCGGCAACACCCTTGAATTTCGAAAACGACACAATCGGCAACAACGTTTCAACAGACACAGTAATCGTAATCCTATAGTTGATTCGCCTCAGTATCAAGCATACCGAGCTCGGGCAAATCGTGATGGAAACAACTCCAGTGACTCGAAGTGGCCCGAGGTTCTTGAGAATGCGTTTCTTGATGGTTAGTATAACACAAGCATCGTAACAATGGAAAAGAACTGACACTGCCTAAGCTCTCCTTGCCATCCCTTATATGGGAAGACGAAAGTTTTCGTTCAAGGGTAAACCTCATGGTCGGAATGAGCTCATCAGGGAATACATTTGGATCGCATACAAGAATACACTAGCTCCTGGTCAGCGTCCAGATCCTACGATGATGCGCAACCGAAAGCAGGTTTCTAGTCACATTCAAGTTTTAAAAGGATTTTTGAATCCACACCCTGCACTATGTAAGCAATTCATACCGATGTTCTTGAAGTGTAGTCTAACATTTCTCAGTCCAGCGCCTCTTTCCACCGAATAAGGGACCCAAGAATGGTTTCGAGGATTCATTCAAGAAGGACCCTACACTTATAGCACTTTCGCAAGGCCGACTACCCAGCAGACGTCACGATCATTATGATGGTCTCAATCAAATAATACTCAGTAATCATCATCCTATGAAGCCTGCTGCATTCTGGTTGCTCATGACACCTTTTGCTCTACCAAATGAGCGAAACGGAATCATGAAGACCGAACAAGATCTTCGAAGAGACGGCCTAGTACTCCACAGGTACTCGGGTTTATCATCATCAAAGCCACGCGGAAGTCTTGAATCAATAATGCACTGGCGACAAAAGTTCCCTCACTTGGCACAATTGCATTCTGCCAACGATTTGAATTGTGATATCATTCATATGGATGTGTCGTTGGATCTGATGAAAACTCACGCTCCAGATAACAGTGAGCTCCTCACTCGATTGGAAATGTCCATACCAGGGCAAGATTATGCTGGTTTCAAATGGCAATCTGTAACGAGCTTAATTAAACCCGCAGAGCTATACGGTGATCCTACCAGGGACCCGGTTCTAGAAGGCACGGCATTACCGATGACGGTCCTCGGGATGACCGAAAGCGAAACTCGAATTAAAGTCGCAATACCTGCTGAGACTTGGGCGTACACATTCACACAGCTTATGAACCTTCATTTTGAAATCGAAAAGAAACGTCTTTCGCAGTCGTTCAGAGGGGATGGTTTAGGTCGTCCCACAAACTCCGTTCGAGAGTATGTTGACCGAATCTCAATGTATCAAGAGCTACAATCTTCGGCCGGTGATAGAATGCCATTTATCCGACGAGCCATTCTCATCTGGACATTTCATAAAGCTCGCAGTGGAGAAGGAAATGATACTACCTGGCGTTATGTTGACCCAGCTCCTCGACGCCACATGTGCATGTCACCACCACCATATCTTCACAACCATAACTTTCCTAACCTTGAACATTACAATTCCTGGCCGGAATCACCTCTTCACCTCCAACAGCCCAATATTCTCGACTCTTTTGTGCAAAGCCTTGCTGCTCCTCCGCACACAGCTAGTCGGCAATCTCCCTTTGATACAACTGGTTATACATATCCTTCTCAGCATTTCGACATGTCTAATGAAAATATAAGTTTCGTGTCCCATGCAACTGTGGACAGCGAATCTACACTTGTAAATGACAACGATCCTACAAATCAAATCGATAATTTTTTGACTAATTCAGCGGGAGTTAATATGGGAGCTTACGGGGATGTGAGCGGTCATTATTATGGTCATTTACCGACCAATACCGTTAATGCCAACGAATCATTTGATGCGGACCCAGCGTGGGCGAGTTATTCCGTGCCAACTAGTACGTCGTGGGAGCACAGTGAGGAAACCAAAGGCTTAGCATGGCCGGATACAAGTACCCAGATTGAACCTATCCATAAACATTCCTGGTTGAACGATGCACAAGAGCAGAAACAGACACAAGCGGAATGGAATGGAGAAGATATGGATATTAATGGTGTTCATTTTAATGAAAGGGACAATGTCACTGGTAAACATGGAAATGAACCTCCTTGGTCGGATGTGGTGATGGGTAGTAGTCCGAGTAAACAGAATGAGAATGGGTATATTGAGAATAATATAGAGTCGAAATTATTACCTTGGATTGAGCAGGCTACGGCGGAAGAAGAGGCACAAGCACAAGCTAGAAGGAATGCTGTGGATTATGGGGATGATGTTGTGGGTGTAGGTGTTGGTGTGGGTGTGGGCGTACAGCTGGAAGGAAATGTTGCAGAGGATGTTAATGAACATGATAACATTACGAAAGACGAACACTTCGACCATCACGATCGCGATTCACATAAGCAAAATCATCATCGATCTCATCAACACGATTCATTGGAACAAACAGAATGGCCCCGCAACGACGAGATTAATGGCGTTGGAGTTGAAGTTGACGTCGCCCACTCTAACGGATACGATTTCGAACACCTAGATGAAAGCATCTCTGTGAAATCTTGATTCCGATTTGTTTTCTAGCATACCTACCTATCTATCACTACATTCTCTGTTACAAAAGGTGTCCAGTTGGAATTTTCCCTCGTTTTTAATTTTATTTTCAAGGCGAGCATGGGTTTCGGGCTGGTTGATTGATGGTTTTTTATTATTCGATTGTGGAAATTCTTTTCTGGGGTTAACTATTGGTTTATTTTGAGTCTTCATTTAGGGTTACTTATTTACTTCTACCTATTTACACATAGTTTTTAATATTCATTCATTTTACTTTTACTGGCTTTTATTGATGTGTGGTACAATTACAATTTGAAAATAATTCCCTGGGTTCGTCCGGATTTGGTGAGGCTAGGAGGTTGTTGGTGTAAGGTTGAGTGAGGTTTTCAGGGGAAACCTTCAGTGCCTTGCTTGGTGCTTCGCTTCCCTTCGCTTTACTGATACTACCATCTATCCCTTTCCTATAATTAGTGATTATTGCCAGTTTCCCTTGGGGGAATTGATTGATTGCAATTAATCACCTACAGGATGTTAGGACTTGATTATATATTACTATTACTATTACTATTAGTGATTGGGATGGATGGGATGGGCTGCCCTTGAAGGATGGACTGAGATTGGGATTGTTTGTGTGTAGTTTATTATATGATATAGTTGTACGGATTTTATTAATTTTGGATTTGATCGACTTAATATTATGTTTGGAATGAATATGAATTGAATTGACGGAGTATTATATCGGTATCTCCTGCCTTCTATCTTCCAATAATTAGGTATCCAGGTAGTTTTCCCATCTTTTCATAATGACAGCGAGGTCCTTCTTGAATGCGATATATCAACCCATAATCCTATAACCTCATAATAAAAAAAAAGATCTTGAAAATGGAAAATGGTAGTTAGCAAACTTCTTCTTATATATCCGGTGATCCTACACTCAAGATCTTTCTCCTAGTTACCTACCTTACATATACTCGAGAGATAGTTAGCGAGCTATATACATCTTATGGATTATATTGATATATACAAACTTTCAGATGAGGTAACTCCTATCTTCATTAAACATCTTATCGACTCGCCTTGGCGCAGTAGGTAAACCACCGCGCTATAACCGCCTTCAGGTGGATGGGGTGTTTGATCCGCGAACAGTGATGTCCCCATATTGCAGAGCACAGCTGGTGCAAATGAAATCCCATGTCAGAGGAGTTTTCCCTCTTGGCTGATTTGGTGCGATTTTAATGCTTTTCATTCTGGCTGGAGGAGGAAGATGAGAAGGTTCTCCTCCCAGATTTTATGTGGCTAGTCCGAACCTTTGAACCCGGACTTTTCTCTTTCGAAAGTGAATTAATGGTCAGAAGCTCCATCGTACTTTTGCTCATCCTTAAAACCTCTTCTTTGATTTTCCAATTTACAATTGAAATTTTACAACCATAAGCCTACAAATAGATCATCAATCTGTCGAAAATGGAAGAATACAAAAGTGTATACGATACAATGCTCTCCAAATCACTCAGTTATGGCTACATCGAAGAACAAGTCCTCGATATTCTATCCGAGAGTCGTGATCGAGTTAAGCTGAGCACATATAAGAACTTTCCGCATAATGAGAGATGTTGGATGGCGGAACAGTGGACCTGGGAAACACTTTGTAAGTACCACTTGTTTGAGAAATCATGGTTGATATTAACCCACTCACAGTTGCCGATGAATTAGATGCATTCCCAGGAGAGAAACCAAAGTGGACGGGAGCGGCGAATTATTGAAAGCACAAATCACCTACGGCTAAAGAAACACCAAAGACTACTGAAGGCGAAACTAGTGGTTATTCACTGGCGTTCAAAGAAGAGAAAACTACAATCTTTCAGCAGCTTATCGCAGGAGGACGAAGAAGGTCTGATGCAACCATTCTCAAGGCTACAGCGGAAGCACCAAAGAGAATCAGTCTTCTTGATTATCCATTGGAGGAGGTCACACCAAAGCAGGCTTACCAGAAAAACACAGAAGCTCTCAAACCCTCAGCTTCAGCTGTGTTGGGGACTCGGCCAACTTTCGGAGCAAATAAGAGAAAGCGCACAGAACCACTATCTGATATCTCTGATATGTGGGAGTATTCCTGAGCATCCCTATTTCAGATATCGAATCCAGCCTTTATGAAGATTCGGAGTAGTCCGAGTTGGAGTTCTCGAGCTATTTTGTATTTCAGCCTGGTGATGATGGCGATATACCCACTCGCAAGAAGGGCAGCTAGCTGTCCTGTACTTTTGAGGAATTTGCAGCTCGAGATAAACATTTTGAAGGCAGAATGAATGCAGGATTTTAAGTCGAGCTAGCTCATGTTTGATGGGAATGAATGGTACTGGGATAGTACTAAGTGACCTTTCATGCATATGCGGGGTGCAAATAGAGCACTGAGTTACAACAGATCGCAGCGTTACCGTGGTAATTATAGAAATGAAGAAACGAACTGAAAACTAAATAAATTTGAATTCACCTTATTAATGCAACGTACTGCCAATAAAGTTTTATGGAAATATGGCTCCTAAATCGGCGCGCACACTTGTGTGATCTCTGTTTTTGCACTCATAAACAGACAGAAGTTCAAGTTTCCTCCATCAGGCTCTGAAATTACTCGACATATTCTGGTTGGAGCTCATCGTTTCCTTCATTTCATCCTGCTATCAGTCTTGTGGGTTGAGATTCCTTTGTCCCATAGGCTTTACTGTAAGTCCACAAAGCAGAATATAGATGCTGGTGACAAATATAGCTATGCCCTTGTTCGAAAACAACACCATAGCGTATTGCTAGTCCACTCCCCACTATAAACAGAGGGCTTGGGAGGATGATGTAAGGAGCAGCTCATCTAGGGGTTCGGTGATACAATAAACTGTTTTCCTGGAGGTAGCAATGGTTTATCACCAGCTCGTATATTATGTTTGCGCTGTAGTAGAGTTGAGAAAGATGGGAATCCGAATTGTCTCGGGTGACAATGAACAATCAAATTCTGAGCGGGGATTGAGCCCATAGAAAGCATTGATGGAGATACGATACTAAACTCAATAATCAACTCTAACTAGGTAGCTTTGTTGTGCGGAGGGACAATGGGAAGAAAGGTTGTTCGAGGTGCTATTTAAATGAACTGGGGTATGTTATTACGTAGGTTAGAAGGGTAAGTATTGTAAGACATTTTTTACCCATATATTACTGTTTTTCTGTTTTTCGATACTGCTTTAAACAACTCAAATAGATATTGAGCTGTTCCCCTTCAAGATTTCAATGAAATTTCAACGAATTTATGATTTTGAAGCCTTTAAAGCTTGTATAACCTTTCTGAATCATTTCAGAATAGAATTTTGAATAAAAAATTGAAGATTTTGATTAAATTTTACTAAAAAAATGAAATTTATAATACTTTAATTATCTCGATTTCATTATATAAATTTTCAATCAGCGTAATGATATTATTGATCAAAGCCTCTACAAATAGGGAAAGTATGGTTATTTTTTGGCGTGTTTTACAATACTTTCGCCAGCAACCTCTGTAGCGTCCACATGCCACGAGTCACCCCTGTAAAATTGGTGAAATCCCGCCGCGCACTCCACTTTCATCATCATAAGGCTGAAAAGGCCAATCTGGCATCTGCTTTCAGACTACAGTGCATTCAATGGTTCGAGTCTGATATTCAACGACACCCAATTGCGACAAAATCAACATCTCAAGTGGAATAACATCTAGGGAGACATATTTTCAATCTACCTGTCGCTATGCTCTCTACCGGCTTCACAGATGTGCCAGTAACGCGCAGCCTTGTCTACGGAATATTCATAACCTCTTTCCTCGCCAGTATTACAGATTCGAAGCATTTCTTCTACATACAAGCAGATCCGCATCTGCTGCGATATCATCAGTTATGGCGTATGCTCACTTATCAATTGTGCTATACCAATTCGACTGAGGTGTTCTTTGGCGCGATAACGTACTATAATATGAGAGTGGTGGAAAGATTATGGGGATCTCGTAGATTTGCCGTGAGTGATTGAATCCTTGCTCTGTCGTGTCCACTTGCTTAGAGTTATATTCAGTCTTTCCTGCTACTGTCCTTCTGCTTCACTTCGATTATATCACCCATACTAGTCATCCTTCTACGACCTCTTTCTCTCTATGCGATAAATTACCTACCTGCAGGACCTACAGCTCTTATTTTCGCTACCCTGGCCCAATATCATGCCATCATTCCACACCAATACAAATACAAAGTTGCTGCTACATCTGCGCCAATGACCGAGGAGAATTTCGTAGGTGTCACTTTCTCAGATAAATCGTACATATATCTCCCCGCTATTCAACTGGGTCTTTCCCAATTCCCGGGCTCGATTATATCTGCTATGGTGGGATGGGTTATTGGTTATTGTTGGCGAAATGATGTGCTTCCTACAGCTATCACACGATGGAGATTGCCAGGTTGGATGGTGGGTGTTCAAGCTAGGAAAAGAAGTGAAGGATTTGAGGGAATGAGGAGAAGATTAGAAGGGGAAAATACTGCGGCGGCTACTGGATCGGATGGCCAGTCTGGTGGAGAAGTTGGGAGAAGGAGGACTTTGGCGAATCAATTTATCGATCAGTTCAGAGGAGCATCGTGACGTTTTACTTGCTCAAGGATATCAATGATTTATTATAATTTATACATCTCTTCTTGGATACCAGAGCTACTGTGAAGCTATGACAGGATGATTTTCAACACATGGTTAGTGAGCAATATAATGATCAGACAGCTTGCGGGGATAGTTGGTTGTGGACGGGACTTTTGCTGTGGGCTCCCGATGTAGACTTGCCCTCTGCGTGGGAAAGATGCAAGCTAATCTCACCATGGAAAATGAACAAGGGGGAGAGGTGGTGAGAGATTAGGTTCAGCCGCCATGAAAGTTCAAATATAGAGCAGTTGATCAATCCTGATCCTGAAGTGAAGTCGGAAACTTCGTGGAAGGAAAATTATACAAGTGGTTTAATAGATGCAAAAGGGGCGAGCTGGAAATCTATGAAGCTTAGAATGGCAAGGCTAGCTTCAGAATCCCAGCCATTGCCCTAGGAGATTAGCTAGTTTCTTGTGTCTCGATGACAGATAGTCCTTGAGCGTTGAACTAGAGCAAACACTTAGCTATTCTCTTATCAGGCCTAGGAAGTAGTGAGTAAACGTATGGCTAGCACTATCATATGATTCAATAATCAAACTTATACTCAGTGCCGTTTTGATTGAAATGAAATTACTTATGAGTTGCAGAATACAACGATCGATTGCCTAAGTCAAACATGAGACATCTGAACACTTTGCTTCTAAACGATGGCCATATTAAAGGAAATGATGCGATGTCAAAAAATGACACTGTTTCAGTTGACTCCCAAATTCCCATATAGAATATCAAACGACGATTGAAGCAATGGGTGTCATCTCACCTACCCAGGAGGAAGGCCACTAAGCAGATTATTTGGGGCTTCACAATGAAGGAACTTGTGTGAGAAAGAACCGAGCAACAAAATGTGTTTGTCATATGAAGCAACGCCAACTCACAGAAGTGGAAGTAGACAGGTCACGTTGACCTAAGTTGAGAATTGTACGAATGTCATTTTGTGACCCGAGGAAACTATTTACCACACAATTACTTGCTGAGGTTTGAGGCTTGGTGAGCTTGTCACCATTTTTACTTTCCTGCAGATTGAAGGCCTAAATGAGCCACCAAGACTTGGTTATCATGTTCCTCTTCCAATCCCAATTCCCCAACCTTCTTCCAAAATTTACTCAAATGCCTCGTTCCGCTGTCACAAAGAATAGTGACCACCGTACTTCCCTTTTCTAATTCCAACGCAGTTGCGACAGCTGCCACGCAATTGACAGCGCTGCTACTTCCCACAAAGATTCCATCCTTTTCCACTAGCCACCTCGCCATTTTAAGTGCCTGCAAGTCTGTCACCTTGACGGCGTCATCGATAATTTCTCGTCCAGCTTCGAAGTTTTGTGTCAAGCGGTTGACTCCAATCCCTTCAACGATAGTATCAACTTGCTGCCGACGTCTCGTGCCTTCTTTCTCGGTTGGAGAGAACATCACGCCGTGTTTTACTTTATTGTAAAGACCACTTCCCTCTGGGTCGGCGAGTACGACTTTTAAGTCTTGTCCCATGAGTTGCTCTTGTTTCAAATAGAGGGCCACTCCTGAGATGGTTCCTCCTGTACCAGCTCCGGCCACAAAAGCATCAATCTGAATGTCATCAGTTAAAATTATGTAAAATTTCTGAAGTTTTAGTTGCTCACATCACCTCCTGTCTGGGCATAAATCTCAGGTCCGGTAGATTGAAAATGTGCTCGATAATTTGCAGCGGATTCGAATTGATCGGCAAAGAAGCCTCTACTAGAATCCATTTTGGACGCTGTATGCTCCTTCGCTCTTCTCCTTGCCAGGTTGACGAAATGCTCTGTAGAAGTGATTGGTGCAGGAGTGACTCTTTCAACTGTGGCACCAAGGTGATGAAGAAGATCTGATTTTTCTGTGCTCTGATCATTGGGCATGCAGATATATGCTTTGTAACCTCTAGCACGTGCTAAAGTCGCAAGTGAGATACCGGTTGATCCAACAGTGCCTTCATAAATAGTATCTCCTCTACCAGGCTTCAAGAATCCTTCCTCTTCTGCCATCGTGATCATATTCAACGCTACTCTATCTTTAGGACTTCCACCACCTCCATTGAGAAATTCAGCTTTGGCAAGAATGGTACATCCTGTTGCGTCGGAAAGACTCTTAATCTTGAATAACGGAGTGTTCCCAATGCATCCTTCTATTCCTTCTGGGATTAGAGGTTTTGGTAATCCCAGGATTGATTTCCGAGTTCGATCTTCTAGTTTTAATGGATGAAGATTAGACCCTACTAGCCTCAGATCAGATGATGAAGAATCCGATGCAATAATTCCAATTCCCTTGCCCTTTGGCCGTCTTTGATATCTTCGTTCTAAATCTGGATATAAATCCTTGAAACCCAATGTCAACAGAACTCCTGCGACGAATGCAACTGCAATTGCCGCAGTTCCATATGCCTTGGGATGATTGCTCATAGACATCTTATCATCGTGTTTTCATCATCATTTCAATTATGGACAATTGGTTCCAACATTTTGCTGATGTCGTGATTTTCACAGCTCGACTCTCGCAATAATAAATATCCTTGCAAAACTTTGTGTGGAAAGAAGCTTGGACCCACCAGAACTTGACATTGCGACAAGAGGTTCCCCAAGAAACACACAGGAGGAATCAAACTCTTTTGTCTATGGACTCTCCATTTGTGGCACAACTGTTTCGGCAGCTATTTCGACATAAGAATTGTCGGGTCTTACGATCGTATTCCTCTTTATCTCCTCGAGCTTGGAATGGGCACGGTACGCAGTTGAGATATTTGTCGAGCACCAGCAGGAGGGGCAGAGGGGTGAAGGAGACGAGCAAGAATGAAAGCCATTGGCAGCAGAGAACAGACTTGTTTCCTGTAGATATGATGGAGGAGTTTAATAAATATCCCATGGTTACAGCAGATCAGCTCAGAGGGAGGAGGGAAAGACCTAGACGTGTAAAGATGCTGACGCGAGATTTTATCGAAGGTATCCACAAACCACTCTTTGTCATATAGCCAACCTTCCTGACATGCTATGCAGATAGTTTGTACAATCCTTCTTATGGTTATTTCTCCAAACAAGTCGTAATTTTCACTCCTGGCGAGCCTTTCGATTTCAACTCCCTCGAAGACGAACCAGCTTTCCACCGTCTCCTGGGTCAACGGTACACCGAGTTTGAGGACGAGTTGGATCTTAAATCTCCCAACGAGACTCGTCAACTATGGCATACACCAACGGAGCTCTTCAGACCCTACTATGGCGAAGCTATAGCCCGGTACTTGGTCAACAATTACAAAATATGGCAATACCCATACCACGATCTCATAATCTACGAAATGGGAGCCGGAAACGGCACCCTCATGCTCAATATCCTCGACTATATTCGCCTCACAGAACCTGAGGTTTATGCCCGCACAAAGTTCAAGATCATTGAGATATCGAGCAATCTCGCATCTTTACAAAAATCACATCTCTTGAGGAACGCCAATTCTCGAGGACATTTATCTAAAGTTGAAATCATCAATAAATCAGTTTTTGAATGGAACCAGATAGTACCGTCGCCGTGTTTCTTCCTAGCCATGGAAGTTTTCGACAACTTTGCGCATGACTCCATACGATATGACCCTGTCACGGAAGAACCTCTCCAAGGCACCGTCCTGATATCCAACACTGGCGAATTTTACGAGTTCTACACACCCACTATCGACCCCATAGCATCCCGTTTCCTCCGCGTACGACATGCTGCTACGAATGGAAAATATCCACACCCACTTCCACAGAACAAATTAATAAGATCGTTGAGAAATAGCATGCCATTCGCTCCGAATCTCAGTCAGCCAGAATATATACCTACGAGACTTATGCAATTTTTCGATATATTGGCCAAGTATTTCCCGGCGCATAGGTTGGTGACGAGTGATTTTCATTCGCTGCCGGATACAATCAAGGGAGTCAATGCGCCAGTTGTGCAGACGAGGTATAAAAGGAGAACGGTTCCTGTGTCGACGCCCTTTGTGAGCTTAACTATTCCTTTCGCCTTTCTCCTTTTCTGCTTCTTGGGCTAATACGAGATAGGTACATCAAGGATATTTCGACATATTGTTCCCTACTGATTTTGCGGTCATGGATAATGTATACAGAGCCATCACAGGGAAATTTACACAAGTTTTATCACATGAAGAGTTTCTGAACCGATGGGCTTATGTGGGACAGACGGAGACCAAGAATGGGGAGAATCCCCTTTTGACGTGGTATAAGAATGCCAGTGTTCTTACCACAGTATGAAAAATGAAATACCAAGTAACCGTGCACATTGCAAAATTCCTACCAGCGCACAGTACATGATAAAATTTGAATTTCTATTTATGTTATTGGGCAACTAATCTTTTCTAGCTGGCCATTGTACAAAGCCTCCCTAATTGGAAGAAAAAAAGAGCTTAAAACAAAGCTCTATATTCTGCAGAGTAAAAAATGATGTTGTCAGCTATAGAAGCATTCCCACATGTTAGTCCAACTTCAAAAGCTGGAACACGTAGGCGTAAATATATTGATGAAAATAGCCCAATAACTCCAGTTTAATTCATTCTGTTGCTTACCAGACTATGTTCTACCTCCACTAATATTTATAGAAACCCGACATTTCTTCCTTCAAAGCCATGATCATCTTCGAAAGATTTGTATACTCACGATGGTTCGTTGAGTATTCAATTGTGTCTTTCGGCTTGAGCATGTGCAATTCCTTCATTGCCTTCCTATGGGAAGTGTTTAGTTGCTCAATAGTATCGATAAATTCGACTTCTTTCTCAGCCAAACCGATCATAGTCGATCTGATATCGGCAAGTTTGACAAGTTCCTTCAAACACAGATAAGCGTCGGTTGTCATAAATACTGCTCGAAGTTGATTGACGAAATGTCTTTGTTGTTGACAGTAGCGCTGTCTAGGTTTGGAATCATTGATACTCGAATCTGTTGTGATTTCATTTGTGATCTCATCGATCAGGTCTTTCAGTTGAGAAGTCATTTCAATAGTGGGATCTTCCTGTTGCAGTCTTTCGCCTTGAAGTAAGCAACCCAAAATTCGATTGATTCTTTCAGTGACAGTATCGAGTTGAGACCTTTGTTGGTTAATCCAATCTTCGACGAGGGGATGAAGGGACTCGAATGTGTTGGAGATAAATTCGTAGTCATTCTCGGCTTCCTTATCGTTGGGAATATCTCCGCACTTATTTTCTGGTCCCCGGACTTTAGAACTAGGACCTTGGGAAGTGCCGTGGGAGACACTCTTGTAAGATTTTTCGAGATTGTGGGTTTTAGACTGAAATAGTTCAGGGGTGTTCGGAAAGTTATGTGATTTGGAATTCTCAAGAACAGTTGTAGAGGATTCTAACTTGCTGTACTTGGATGGAGATGCTGGGGATATTGATAATTCTCTGGTATCCACATCAGCATTAGTCAGAGCACTGCTACTTTGAAATACTTACGGTTGTGCCAGCTCTGAACTACCAAATCTTCTACCAAAGCTGGCCGTATCAGGGATTCTTTCTTTGCCCTTTTTTGATGTGGTAGTGATAGCCTCTCTGTATGACAATCAGCTTGATATGCAACTAATCTCCCCATTGCACCCACGATTCCACAAGAACAGTTCCTCTGCTGTTAAGACTATGCTCTGATTGTAAATCAAGCAATCCTAGGTCTCGACCACTGCGATGGCGCTTTGCTGGCGATATTTGCTCTTTCTCGCTACTTAGCTTTCTGGTAGAAAGTATAAGCAATGTGAAATCTGTACTTCAATGCTTCAATCTTGTTTGGAAAATTACCGAATTGATGGAGTAAAATATGAGTTTTTCTCTACTTCGCAATGACTGCGTTTGCGGGGACTGTGGGAGGAGGATGGCTCTGCTGTTTGCTCTTCGACACTATTATGTTGAAACATCTTAGTAAACTCATCTTATCAAAATAGGCGGTATTGAATATTAGCAAAGTAGTGGTACTCACTCCGAATCTTGTAGGATTTCTCTCACAGTGACGATAGGCTCTTTGTTTCTTACCGCAAGGTTCGAGCAGCTCCACTCCAATGCGTCCATTTTGTGGCAAATACTTGAATACTAAAGAATTGATATAGTGTTTTAGTGTTATAGAAAGCAGACGAAAAGAGAAATCATGGGACGGCTTTTCTGGGGGGAGAGAGAGAGAGAGAAATGTTGAGAGGTACGCGTTATGGGAACAGTTCTAAGGGAGGGTGATGCTCAGAAATTTTCGAAGTGGAAGGCGATTAGGGATATTCGTTCTTACCTCTTCAGGACTTTACACAACTCTGATCAGACCTAAGCTGCTATTTTACTTTCACAGTCGTTAAGTGATTTCATACCAATGCTCTATTGGTGCCCATAAATCCAAATGAGGTATGTAAGGCCAAGTATATTCCGCTTGCCAACTGGATTTCATGAGAAAGTCAAAGTCTATTTATTTTTAGATAGGTACTATATCCGTCCGTTCAAACATCAAAAACCCGCACAACAAAAATTAATAAGATCCTTCTGCTCATCTGAATATAATAGAATGATATTCCTCAATTGCTTTATTTAGCCCACCTAACCGCTTCGACAAAGCGCCCGATGTGTTTCGACAATATCATGTTATCAAATATAATGCTAGCCATTTCAATCCTCATAACGCCGACAAGTCCGCCATTCTTCTCTCTATTCTAATCGCCAAATCTTTATCGACCCTCCGAAATATCTCTGCGACAGAAGTCAGTCACACACGCCCTCGTAGCCACTAACCATACAAGGGGAAAACAAGTCTTACCAATTGCCTTTCTCCATATCCTTTCCTCCTTAACATTGATCAAATTCCCCGCAACATTGCTTACCAAATCTTCCTGCTGACCTTTCTCTTTTCCCAAAACACCTTTCCAAAAGTTTCTCGGCTGTACAAAATCATCGTCCTCAACTTCACTCGTGAACGCTGTTACCTTTCCGCTCCAAACTTCATGTTGAATATCATGTACAGCCTGAATATTCCTACTCGCAGGAGCAAGGGGAACAAAACTTGATCGAATATAGTTTGGGTCTGGGCCATAGTTACCGTTGATAGAAGAAAGGCCATCACGTTGGTATGGTGTGTAGACAGGACAATGAGGAGCGTTCGACCGAAGTTGCTGATAATTTGTGCCGAGACGGTAACGGGCGGCGTCTGGATATGAGAAAAGTCGGGCTTGAAGCACTGTCAAAGGTAGGGGTGGTTAGCGATGTTTATATGTAAAGATACGAGCGGGTACTTACCTGGATCTGCGGATGGGGCAATACCTGGAACCATATTCGAAGGCGAGAAAGCGGCTTGTTCGATATCTGCGAAGAAATTGTTTGGCTACACGGATTAGTGGAAGGAGAGTAGTAAGTGGATGAGACTACCTTACATTCCTGTTCAGGGTCATTTTACCAAAGGGCCTCAAAGGAACATCACTGTGTGGCCAGACTTTGGTCATATCAAACACATTCCAACGAAAAGATTCTGCATCTTTGGGGTCCATCACTTGAACACTTGCTGTCCAGCCAGGAAAATCTCCACGCTCAATGGCATTGAAAAGATCCAACTTATGATGATCCGGATTCACACCTGAGAGTTTCTCTGCAGCAGCAGCTGTATTGCTTTTCACTCCCTGGTTCGAAATGAAATGAAATCGTACATACTTGAACGTACCATCTTGCTTGGTAAATTTGTAAGTATGGCCGCTGTACGCGTTCAAATTTCGTAGAGAAGCAGGAGTCCCTCGATCTGAAAAGAGATACATGATTTGATGAGTTCCTTCCGGGTTATTATTGTGGAAGTCCCAGAACATGTCAGCATCCGGAACATTGGTTTGCGGGTGACGTTTGTGAGATCGATTCAGAGAGGGGAATTTGATAGGGTCGCGAATGAAGAACACAGGAGTATTGTTAAAGACGAAATCTTGGTTTCCTTCCTCGGTGTAAAACTTCATGGCATATCCTCGTACATCTCGTACCACATCTGGACAGCCTTTCTCCCCTCCTACAGTAGATATGCGCACTATACAAGGGGTTTTCTTCCCAATGCCATTCAAGAAGGCTGCTGAAGTCAAGTCTGAGATGTCGTGAGTAACTTCAAACTCGCCGAAAGCGCCGGCTGCTTGGGCATGGACTACTCTGCAATGTGTTAGTGGATATCTTCAAAGGCCTTTGCAATACATGCCTCTCTGGGATTCTTTCTCGAGCAAAGTGTGCAAGTGTTTCGATTAGTTGTGTGTCTTGCGATAGCATAAGACCCCCTAAGCCGAACGTGTTTAATCGTACGGAAGTAGTTGGGTCGGCAATTGGTACTCCTAAGAAAGGTTAATATCATACATAATATTCGGTAAAAACCCGTGGAGAAAATACCTTCGGCTAAAGTGTAAACAGGCCTTTCGAGAGAACCGATCTGTACAATGTGTCAGTTGTGGCTTAGGTAGATTGTTGAATTTCAGACCTTTGACGCCATTTTGTAAAGTGTAACCGTAGGTTATGATATTCAAATCAAGTATGTAGGGGGTTCTGTTAGTACAGAGACTGGTTGAATAAAATTTATGAAAGTTTGATGCTTCAGTATACTTATAGACGATAGAACTAGATATACTTCGTAGTCACTGTAAATCTCTATATGAGCTGCACACCAACAAATGCGACCAGCTCCTGAGAGTATCAACGGAGTTTTCGTGGAGAGTGAGCGTGAATGCACCATATACATCGACATATGTAGAACGTATGACGCCTACTCAAACAATAAACGAACTAGCTCAGAGATCAATGACTACTCACTCGACAGCATGATCGGAGGCGTCAAATAAGAATTGCCGCATAAAACGCCTAACACATGCAGCAAGACAGCTAGAATGCGATAAATATCCGATACACATGTTTTACATATCGAACTGACGGAGAACTTTCCATCTTGTGATACAAGAGCAAGAAACCTCATGAAAATAGAACATGTAGCAAAGAGCAGAGTTCTTAGATCAGCAGTGCACTATATCATTTCTCGTAATTTCTCCTCCATTCAATAAGAAATTTGCATCGTGAATGCTGCCCGACTATAAAGCCTTCCAACGACTGAGAAAGGTATCAAGATATTAATGCGCTGTGTAACAATATGCTAGGAGTTATTCTGTTCTCGACTTGTTTGTAAGATCTTAGTTGTTTGCACGGTGGAGGGAGAAACTCGGCATGAGAATCGGCAACGCCGGAAAGTTGCCGAGTCTTCAAATTCGGAATTCTTCTGTACTGGGCTTCTCCGATCGTTCTCCGAAACGAAACGAACCCGAACCCGAACTTGCACCTCAACCTCTGTCTTTGCTCGAATGTTATTTTTTATTAGTATAAATATGAAATAAATGACCTTGTACAGCGGGATGGTGGGAAGTATAAAGATAGAAATTGAAGATATTCATATTGTATTATATGAACTGAGGAGTGAAGGTTTTACAGAAAGAAGAGTTTAGAACTGCTCGAGCACTAGTGGGGACTAGCTCTCTTTGAGGTGGAGCACGTGCGAATTATATCTTCTAACAACGAAAATGAAACTTGGTAATTTTTAACTGAAATAAGCTTTTTATATACATTAAAAACAAAATACACAAATTAAGACTTAAAAACAGTCGTATCTCGGTACGGAAACACGTTAAGAAAAATGATATAAACAAACTACTCCCCATTCGCCAAGGCCTCTCTAATTTCTTCCAACTCCCTCACTACCCCATTCACGAAGCTTTTCACCTCAACTTCTCCCATAAGAACCTTATCAACCTTAACACCAAAATCCACACAATCATTATCTCCTTCTCCAACATCTACAAACAAATTTCTCTTTGCCAAGTACTTTGTATCTATATTCTGCACCGTTGTCTCCCCCTCAATCCTTCTGTCTGGTGCAAAGTCCGTCGGCACACCAATATTAAGCGGCTTCAACAGCTCTTTAGATTCCTTTGCAATGATGGAGTCCTCGCCTGGTTTATGGAAAAGCAAGTTCAAACTTGCATTAAACAGCGGTTCTAGCTCTTCTTCCGTGTCGACACCTCGTGCCCAAGTCACCACATCCATCAAGCGACTTTGCTCCCATGCCACCCGCTTACTCATGTCCCTCTGAATAGTTTCCAGTATTTGCTTCTCTCGTCCTGCTGAAGCAGCAATTGAAACAGGCAGCAAATTAACCGTTGGCGCCAATACCGTTTCCGCACCTTCAAAACTACTCGAGCGTCCCACCTGGAAGAACCCAAATGTAGGATTTGTCGTTCCCGTTATTCTTGCGAGAGCGCGCGAAAATGCTAACATTATAATTGTATTGACACTTGTACCATTTGCACGGGCTAGAGTGTGTAGACTGCTGAGATGGGGAATGGCGCGTTTGATCCAGACGAATGTTTGGGTCATGTCTTGTTCATTTTCCTTGTCCTCAGTAACCGGAGTGAGAATTGTCCGTTGTGCAGATCTCAATGCAGAATTCCAGTATGACTTTTGCTCGGCGAGTGCAGATGGTGTTGAGAGGGATGAATAAGTGTATTTGACGAACGAAACAAAATCGGGTGTGGCAGGCAAGACTGATTCAGGTTGGGTATAAAGAGCACAAAATTCCTTGATGAGAGCAGTCATACTCCACGCATCGTATAAAGAATGATGAATTTTGAACAACACTGCATCTGCTGCTTTGGTCTGTACAAGACAAAGGCTGATGGGTGGGGTGAAAAGCGTGGCGGGATGTTGAGCCCAGTGATAGACTTGACGTTTGACAGCCGAGACCAGATCTTCATTTGTTGATTGGGTTGGAAGAATGGTGAATGTTTCATCGTTAATGACCTCTGGTTTCAATACAATCTGATAGGAGAATTCAGACGTCGGAGCGGTAAATACCGTTCTTAAAATTGGATGTCTTAATTGAAGATCCTTCCACACAGTACTCAACCGAGTCGCATCAATCTTCTCACAAGCTTGGAAAGCCCAGGTGGGTTCATAGAAAGTTCTCCCAGATTTAAGCCAACTGGCCAGATGATATTCCTGGCCTGCAATCACAGGTAGGATTTCCTCCACTGTATGCTCGGGGTACTTGAGCAATGAAAGTGCATTCGCTTTGGATTCGGAAGATAGAAGCTCTTTCCTCTCATCTTGCTGTTGAGTGTTGGTTTTCGACTTTGCAACGAGAATTCGGACGATACCACCAAGAGAATTTCCTTGGAGGATATCGGCAACGCTTATCGGTACATCACGTCTGCGGCAGATAGATGCTACACGAATTGCAGCAATTGAGTCGACACCTAGGGAGAAGATGCTAGTTTGTAACGCCACAGATTCTGTAGGTAAATTTGCCACCTCCGCTAGAGCTGCACGAACAACTTCAAGCATGGGCGCATTCGCGACATCGCTATGATCCTCTGAAATTTCTGTCTTGCTCTTAGGTGTGCTCTCGAGTGGTAAATCGTGTAACTGCTCAGGATAAGCAACAACACTTCTCTTGGGGTTTTCAAGAATATCTCTCAAGGCATGACGAAAGGTGCTACAGATCAAGCCAAGATCCTCAGTATTGATACGCCCAGCAGGAGAACCAGCACTAATGATTACCTTATCCGTTCCTTGCTCAATCTCAACATTCAATCCATACTCAGTAGTGTCACGACTATCTTCCATATCCATCAAGGTCCAGAGCTTCTCACCTTGCTGCCCATCTCTCTCTCCGACCTTTTGAAACACGAATAATGCATCTAACAAAGCACCGTCTGTGAAAATATTCTTCTGGCGCCAGAACCTCTGAATAGTTGGTAGAGAAGCGTGTTGATTTTCCTGTCCCTGGACAACCACATCTTGAATTTGGCTAGCATAGTCCTGGTTTCCAAGTAAAGGATTGTCAAGCGCAATGCGGAAAGGAACGGTGTTGAAAAGTGGACCAAGGACTTTTTCAACATCAGGAAGCGGCAGGGAACGTCCAGAGACGACATGGCCGAAAACGATGTCACGGCGCTTTACGAAACAGAAGAGAGTTTTGGCGTATGCAAGTAGAGCAGCGGATTGCAGATTTATGTTCATCTCTTGGCAGCGCTGAAGGATCTCAGAAACGGGCATTTGTATGGTTGTTGTGGCAAACGAAGTGGTTTGTGTTGGATTGATGGAAGAAGGTATGGGAATGCTTTGGTAATTGTCCAGTCTGTTCAACCAAAACTCGACACTCTTTCCTTGTCGCTCGTTGATGAGTTTTGCAGCATCAGAGAAAGGAGTCATGGGTTTCGAAATACCTTGTGAGTATGCTGTTGACAAAGAATCGAAAATGAGGGGTAAAGACCACCCATCATATAGACTGTGATGAATTGAAATGACTAGTACCTTCATGAAAGACGAGCGTAAAATTGTTACTTTGAGTGGGGTACTGGAAAAAGAGTCGGGAGTGGGGAAACTGGTATTTTCGACAATTTTCTCTATGCTTTTGTCTATCCATCCAGATGCTTGCTCTTCCACCCATTGAATGTTTGGATTCTCATGTACAGCGGCCAACCATGGATTGGCGGATCCCTCGAAATAATGAAACGTGGTTCGAAGAATATCATGAGATTCAATCACTGAAGCCCATGCTTTCTTCAGACGCTCGATGTCAACATTTGCAGATAGCTTGACAGCGGGATGATGAAGATAAAGCTTTCCACCAGTCGCAACTGTTTGAGTCAAGATGCCAGTTTGGAGAGGTGTAGAAGCATAGACATCGGTGATCTTGTCATCCTCTGTCAACAACGGGATGCTCGCTCCATGTTGGTCTAACAAACTCGATGTCTTGACTTCAATAGGCTTTACAGTAGATTGGATCTTGCTCTTGCTAGCAATAGCTCGAGCTAAAGCTGCAATGCTTGGGTACCTTCCAATATCCGAAGATGAAACTTCGAGTCCGGCGCTTCTCAATTCCTTAGCGAAACGAATTGCAATGACGGAGTCGATGCCAAGGCGAAAGAAAGTGCTATTTCTAGAGACATTATCTGATGCAAAGTCGCCCAGCCCAAGTAAGACAATCTTGATGGTCTGCTCGTCGGGCAATTCTTCACCATCATCAAATACTTCGGAGGACGATGAGAAGTTAAGACTAGGTTGAATACCAAGACTCTTGATTGAGATATCGTCACTCTTGGATATAGTGTCAATAAGCAACTCGATCATTTCTAGAAGGTTGTCGACTTTAGATGTAGAGCCAAACTCGGAGGTATATCCAGCACGAATAACAAGATCATTAGATGGATGCCTAGCTTCAAATTCGACAGCAAATGGATAATCCGGGGGCATGTAACTATCGAGCAATTTCCACAGTCCATTATCCGCCTCTTCTTCTCCCGTCTTGATGAAAGAAAATAGGCAGTTGAAAAGAGGACGGTCGGCTTCGACCCATTTGTGAATGGATCTTGGGGAGCTATGTTGGAATTGAAGCATTTGACCTGAAAACTTCTGGAGCGAGGTTAAGATATCCAGCACAGTCGCATCACTCTTGCGGAGATCAATTCGTTGCGGTACAGTAGTTATCGTAGGAGCAAGAAGTTTCTCGATGTTAGGTACAGGTACTGTACGTCCGGAAAGAACTAGACCAAACACGAAGTCGTTGATCGAAAGCAATTTTGCCATGGCAAGGCCGAAGATAGCTTGTGTTAGACAAGGAAGTGTAACGTGCAGTCTGGATGCAAATGCTTCGAGTGATCTCAAACTGCTCTTCAAAATTCTTGTGGAAACCTGGGCTTCAATGTGGTCTTCATTAACTTCCTCACTGAGAATAGGAGGGCAGCTGTAGTCTCCCAATCTCTTCACCCAAAAATTCTTCGCGGCAAGTTCGTCTTGGGAAGCAACATATTCGACAAGCGCACCTGCCGAAGGTCGCTCATGTGCCGGCATACCTTGATAGCGCATTAAAATATCTTGCATTAAGATAGTCAAAGACTCGGCATCGTAGAGTGCGTGGTGCATGGAAATCAGGAGTATGGACTTCGAAGCTCCTTCTGTGAAGAAATTGAGTCGTATTGGTGGCGTGTTCTCAATATTTTGCATGATGTCTAAAGAGATTGCTTCTTGCATCTTGGCCGGGGTGCAATGTCTGCTAGATTTGGTGTAGACATGTTCTGCCCATGGCATATCGAAAGAGTCATTTTTGAGTACAACCTGCAAGATATCATCATTGATTTGGCAGAAGCAGGTCCTCAAAATCTCGTTATCAGTTGCGCATGATTTCCAGGCATGAATTACTTTCGACTTGTCGATATCAGAAGCCAGCTCAAAGGTGATGTGATTAATATATAAAGCACCGGAGTCCTTGTTCAAAGATCGAGCAACAACAGCTTCTTGAACTGGTAAGCAGTGTCGGACAGTTTCAACGTTCATCCCGGACTTTTTCCCCATGATGCTCTCTCTGAACGCAGCTTCGGCACGAGCAAGTTTCTTCTGGGCATTTTCCTTGTTTTTAGCTGTCTGTTCAGATGTATTATCTGAACGTGGTAACAATGCCAATTCTTCAACGGTGCCGATACTAAGAACATCAGCAACACTGCATGTGTACCCAGCCTTTCTCATCAATGTCGAAAGACTGATGGCTACCAAGCTATCCACACCAATCTCGAAGATATTAGTAGAGAGTTTGAACTCTGCCGAGGTAGCCGGCACCACACTCTTGAGTATCTCAACCACAGCAATTTCTTGCTCGTCCAAGTCACGGACAGTAACAGTTTTGGTTCCAGCTAATTGTCCTTTCTCGGCAGACAACAATTGATTTAGTGGTATTGAAGCAAAAATAGACTTGAGTTGCTTCACATCTGCTTTGCCAGACATAGCAGCGAGGGGCAAGAAGTTGATTGGAATAACCACATCCGGAACCATGTAAGCAGGGAGTCTTTCTCTACAGCCGGCACGAATGCTGACGTTTATTTCCTCGAAAGAGTCCAACATCTCAACTTTCTCATCCTTTTCAGTAGCTTTCCTGCTAGCAACGAACGAAATCAATTGCATCCTGGAAAGCTTTGGGTGTTTCGTAATGAGAGAAGACACATTACTTCCATCTGGTAACAAAGCTCGTACTGCTTCGGAAACTTCACCTAGTTCAAGACGCTGACCACGAATCTTGGTTTGATCGTCTGAACGGCCGAAAATCTCTATCGTATCATCGGGCATCAATCTTACCAAATCTCCTGTGCGATACATTCTGGAGCCATGAAAATTCTCAATAAATGCGCCAGTATCACGGTTATGATAGCCAATACCGACGAGACTTCCTGTCAGGCAAAGTTCGCCCTCCACTCCTCTCTTGGCGTAAGTGAGAGTGCCAGGAATGAGCACATGAGCAACAGTGTCTCCCAGAGGTCGTCCAACGTTCCTCATATTTTCTTTCGAATTGACACACGCAGAGGAGGCACAACCAATTGTAGCTTCGGTGGGACCATAAGCATTGATCAACGTAACACTATTCGAGTCACCCCACGTTTCAAGTGTTCGCTGAGAGATCTTCTCACCACCCACACCCAAATACTTCAACAGGGGAACATCGCTCGGTATCAAACCACATTGATCCAGGAGCGATGGTACAAAGCCAGCATGTGTAACTTTCAGCTCTTGTAAAGCCATAGGCAAATCGTCCAGCAACATGGATTTGTTTCCGGTAATACAAGAGAGACCATGTCGCCACGCCAGGAACATTTCAGCAACGTGGACATCGAAAGCTCTACTTGCTAGTCCGAGGAATTTCCCAACTCCACCAAGAATACGAGTGGTAGGTACGTTCTCGCAAATGAATTCGGATTGAGCTTCGCAGAAAGAGGTGAGATTGCCGCAGCTGATCAGCACTCCCTTAGGATTACCTGTTGATCCAGAAGTATAGAGTAGGTAAGCGACTGAGTCTTTGTTCTTCTCGACTTTCTGAGTGACATCTCTGTCGGTTTGGAATTGGTCGTGATTAACGTTGACAGCCAGGCATCCTCCAGGAGCAAATTCAACGGACTCCTCGGAGAAGAATATAGCAGCATCACTGTCTTTCAACAAAAATACCTTTCGATCAGTGGGCAAACTTTCATCGATGGGTAGATAAGTGTTTCCAGATTTGAAGATTCCTACTGTGACGGCAAAGGCCACAAGCGTGCGACCCAGACACATACCGATCATGCGACCATGAATTCCATGAGAAGAGATAAATGCAGCAACTCGGTTGGCTTCGTGGTTTAATCTCGAGTAGCTCCAAGTATGGATTATGCTCGAATTTCGGCTAATAGAGTCCGCAATTTCGGCAGCTGCCCAGTCGGGATGTGTCTCTGCCCAGTGCTCAAACCAGCAAAGAGGATTGTTCAAATCGACGATGGGGTCTAATTTCATTTCGCGAGATTTGCTGACAGCGATCAACTCGGTCGGAAAGTAGTTGGTGAGATCTCGAATCGAGGTATCAGGATATGAAATCATCGCAGTGACCAAAGCATCTAATTGCTTGGTCAAAATCTCGACCCCGCTGATATCCAGTACACCTGATTCAACTGATACAACGAGATCGAAGCCACCAGTTGCGTTTTCCTCCACATTCAATGTAAGATCGTGTTCAACATTCAAACCTAAGAAATCTTCAATCTCGGTCCAGAACTCATGCCTTTGTTCGCTCTCGGTACTTCGCGGATGGAAAACAAAGACTGCAGGATAGAGTGGCTGGCTTTTAGGTCTCCCAATGAGCTTACGAAGCATTCCCGGATTGGCGTCTCTGTGCTTGTATGCAGCGACGTTCATTGAATCATGCTTGACTACTATCTCTCGAGCGGTACCAGAAGTGAAAATTGGAACTGGTGTCAGAGAAACTAGAGGTCCGACGATATCCTCAAGGGAAGAGGCTGCCAAACGTTCTGACAGAACTTCGCCAATGACTATCTTCTGGTCGGTTTCGAGGAAATCCGACACAATGCAAGCCCAAGCAGCTCTGAGGATAGAATTAGCAGATGAGCATTGGAATTCTTGAGCTGTAGTTTGCAGCTTAGATATCGGAACGGAAAGAGGAATGGATATGGTATTGTAGGTTCGAGTTTTGTTTCCTTGAGCAATTTGTTCCACACTGTCATCTGCTTCACTAACAAAGTCTTTGAGGGTATTCTTCCAAAAGACCATGTCTTCTTGTGGGCTGGTTCTTTTCATGAATGAGATCGCAATAGCTTCTCGTATTTGATGTCGTTTGCTGAGTAGTCCTTTCTGGGCGACATATGCCTCATGAAGATCATCAATGATAAATTTTAAGGAAGGTCCATCGTGAATAGTGTGGTGTATTGAAAGCATCATTGTCCTAACATCATCCCTTTCAAACACGACGACAGCCCATGGCGAATTGATGAATGCACTAGTTTGATGTTTCCTAGCGATTTGTTGTGCATAACTCTTTGCGCTTGTCGAGAAATTTTCGTTCGTAACTGCAATGACAGACCAGTCCACAGATGGCTTCTCGTATATCAATTGAAGGAATGTTGATGCACCAAAGCCGGCATTTGCTTTAGCGGACACAGATGCCGTTGGCAAGAATCCAACACGAAGTGCTTCGTTATCACAAGCCACCTGAAACCAAGCAGCCTTCAGAAGCTCAAGATCGACATTATCAGAGAGGTCGAAGAAGTGATTGCTCCAATAGTATTCGTAATTGCGGAATGTTTCACTGAGAAGATTTTCCTGCAGTGACAATGTCGGGCAAACAACAAATGCTTCGTCACGGATTGCAGAGGTTTCCACAACTTTTGGGAACCATTCGCGATGGAATACATCAAATAATCTGTGAGAGGTATCAAGGCAATTTGACTTAGATACGGGCTTGTCGAGTAGATTGCAGAGATCTGCGATAGTTTGACAGTGCAATACGTGTGCAGCCGAAACCTTGTAGCCGACAGTCTTCAGTCTCGCTGTAAAACGAACTGCAGCAATTGAGTCAAAACCTAACGTTCCGAGTCGACTGTTTGATCGGAAAGTCTTGCTCTCAGTTCCTAAAAATGTAGCAAAATGCTGGAGAAGTCGTTCCTCCTCACCTGTCCAATTCGAGTCTTGGGTTGAGCTGAAATTGCTTTCCCATGACTCAAGGTCCAAAGCTTCGTAAGCGGCAGATAATGCTTTTCGGTCAATCTTGGCGGAAGCTGTCACTGGGATGCGATTTAATACCACGAAAACGCTAGGGATCATATGCTCCGGGAGATTTGCCTTCGAAACGGCCATTGCGGCTTTGGCGACCTCGACCGCGCGATCATTTGTAATTAGTAAGTCATGTGCAGAAATACTTGGGGCTGACAATAAAGTCACCAAAACTTTTTTCGGGCGATCTGGTCGGGCCATGAGCATGGTAACAGCTTGTTCCGTATCTGGATGGCAATGGTTGAGAGCAAAACTAATCTCACTTAACTCAACCCGCATTCCGTTGATCTTAACCAAGTCATCACGGCGTCCCACGAACTCCAGACTTCCGTCGTGAAGTTGACGAACAATGTCTCCAGTCATGTATATATGAGCTCCACAACTCTCATTCCAATGAAACCTTTCTTCGGTTTTGGCCGGGTCTTTCCAATACCCACGGGCTACCTGTGGACCAGACAGGGCAAGTTCACCAACTCCATTCCTCATCACAAATCTGTCATTATTAATCACAAAGACGCCAACAGACGGCAATGGCAATCCGACATTTGTGCTCTTGAAAGAATTTTCGTAACCGCCGAATTGCTTGACTGTGGATACGACACTCACTTCAGCGGGACCATAAGTGTTATACGCAAGTATGTTCTGCGACCAATCATCCGCGACAGGCTGAGGTAAGGCTTCGCCAATCATTGTAACAACTTCGAGTGTTTTACAATGCGTGCGAGGCACAATTGTTGCAAAAGCAGGGGTGAGATGGGCATGTGTAGCATTGGTCATATTGGCGAGATCAGGAAAAGAACCAAGCATTACATCTTTGGCTGCTGCAATGACTGTTCCACGAAGACCCCATGTGTAGAAAAGATCTTGAACGAAGACGTCAAATGTTGGCTGCGAGAATTGGAGACATCGGACTTCACCGGAACGACTCGCGGGTATGGCTTCCTTTAATGATTGCATAGCTGTGGCAGCGGCGCTATGTTGAACTTGCACACCTTTAGGTAGACCTGTTGTTCCACTGGTCCATATCAGGTATGCCATAGAGTTGCTTCTGATTATGGGTAAATTTGCTGGTTTGGTTTCGTCGAGAATGAAAGTAGAATTCGTCGCTTTGTCCTCCGATATGTCTATCAAGGAAACTCCTTGCGGTATGGCTTGACCGTCTTGATTCACAGTATCATTTGCCACTAAGAGCATGTTAGCATCTGTCCTAAGAATCAAGTCATGTCTGCGGGATGCTGGGAAAGTTGGATCAATTGGACACCAAGCACCACCAGCTTTGAGAATGCCAAGAATAGCCACGTATAGCTCCGGTGACTTGTATATAGAAAAGGGGACAACTTTGTCCTCCAAAGGACCGTATCTCTGAACGAGATAGGACGCAAGTCGGTTCGCTTTGCGATCAAGCTCAGCAAATGTCCATTTGACGTGCTCTGCAGGATCTTGAGCTGTAAAATTATTTATGAAGATGAGTGCGACATCTTCGGGGTTCATTTTTGCGTTTCGTTCAAAGTCGGTATGTAAAAGAGCGCTGGGCCCAGTCAATTCGGTTGACAAGATCTGAGGGTATATTGAGGGAGCAGTGGCATATCGACCATTTATGTAAGGCTTCTCGGGATTATGAATGAAAAAACTGATAAGATCACTGAATTGCTGCAACATCAGGGTAGCAGATGCATCATGCAGGAACTCATCTGTATACGTCGCTCGGAGACGCAGCGATCCATCTACCTCAGGCCAGATCTCAATCATGACAGCAAAATCGTTGGCCATTGCAGGGTAGTCAACCTTAGACCACAATTCAGAATGGTTCGTACCGGTTGAAAAGTCCTGGAATGCCAGGAGAGTATCGTAGTACAATCCTCCGCTTGGTGCCACAATAGAGTTCAATGGTATCTGAAGGTGGCCTAGGGACTCTGCATTGATCTTGGCTATTTCATGCAATATCGAGGAAACGCTGGTTGATTCTGACTCAAGCAACTGAGCTGGAATATTGATTGGGACTGTGGTAAAAGTAGGTCCCATGCAAACTTTAGAGTCTTCGTCCAATCGACCAGAAATTACGCTTCCAAAGGTTGAGCTGTGTATGGAATCCTTATAAGTGGTAAGAATCAATGCCCAAGCCGCCTGGAGAATACTCAATGGTGAGGTAGAGCAGTTCATGGCACCATCACGCAAGTCATCTATACCAATTGACGCTTTGATTGAGGAGGTAAATGGCAGCTTTGTCATTGTCTCTGGTTTCAAGCCAGTAAGTGATGGGAAAGGAACAGGGTCACATCCTTTTAATTGAGAGGACCAAAATTCGACTGTTTGTGTGGCATCTGACTCGTAGTGCATATTTATCGCGGTAGAAATTCCGGTTCTTTTGGGCATCTCCGACCCACGATATACCAGGTCGACTTCATCAAACAAGAGTTGTAGTGAAGCACCGTCGAATATGCCGTGGAAAACGCTGAAAGTGAAAAACGTTCTGGTAGGTGATTGGATAAGAGTCATTTGATATGGTGGTCTATACAAAACTATTTCGTCCTCGGCCTCACGTGATGTCGATTCTATGAACTTATTCATAATTTGGGGGTCGTCGGATTCACAAGCTACTACCTTCCAGCTTGGTAGAGACAAGGTACATGATTCTTTCAGAACACATTGTCCGAACGGCGATAATACGTCATTAATGGCGACAAAAACCATCCTGTATGATTCATGTCGTCTGACAGCAGTTATCCAGGAATGCTTGAGTCGGGAAACATCAACCGATGAGTTGATGTGATGAACAGAGTGGTGTATATAATGCCCTGCAGTAGTAAGTTAGCAAATCTTTAGCAACATAAACAGTGACTCTGAATTATTACTATTCCCTTTAGAACTTCGCAAGAAACTTGTCAGCATTCCGGACTGCGTTGCAGTAGTTGGCAGGATATTGGCGATATCTTTCGGAGAGACACCGAGACTTTCGCTGCAGATATGTAGATGCTTCGCTTCAAAATCAACAAATGATATAGAAGGGGCGCCTACGACATGATGGGCAGGTGTATCTTCAGTATAACTTTTGCGGCGCTCCACTATGACGTTTCTCAACTTTAGGGGAGTCGCACCTCCAAGTACATCAGCAATACTGAGCTCTGTGATGCCTGCATCTCTAGCTAGCTGCAAAAAGCGAATAGCTTTCAAACTGTCGATGCCAAGGGAGAACAAGTTAGTGTTAGAATCCAAATCCGCCGCAGATTCTACTAGCTTCAACAATAAGTGGCAAATCAGTTTCTCGACTTCGTCTTGCGCATCAGTACTGATTGAGCTTATATGTTCACCATTTTGGAGCGAAACAACAGGTTTCGAGCCTTCCTCGTTCCAAAAGCTTTCCGTCATAGCAGAAAGAGCTTTTCTGTCAATCTTACCAGCCAAAGATCTCGGCATCTCGGATAAGACAAAATACTTTGAAGGACACATGTATGATGGAAGAAGTCGGGCTGCATTTTCACGACACCTCATTTCAACATCTTCCTTGATGTTGTCCCCTTCAAGTATAATGAAACAAACAGCTTCCTCGCTACCTGCCTGATTGGCGAATCGCTTATATGAGACTGTCACCGCCTCTTTGATCCCTTTACAACTTGACACGACGGTATCAATTTCGCCCAGATCAACTCTTCTGCCACTGAGTTTGACTTGGGACGTGTCCAGACGCCCGAGGAACTCCACGACATATTGACCTCTACGATTAGTCACAATCCGAGCCTTGTCTCCTGTAAGATACAGCCTCCCAAATTCAGGACTGATCACAAATGATTTCGCGTTTTGGTCTGGTCGATTCAAGTACCCAATGCTGACTTGAGGTCCCCCAATGGCAAGCTCACCAGAAAATCCTCTTGGAACAGGTTTGACAGAATTTGCGGTTGTATCCAAAACAAATAGTGAGCATGTTGGCAAAGCTGGCCCGATTATTGAACCTCTGTCGCCAGGATGGAAATTAGGAATTAATGTGCAGTTAATAGCTGCTTCTGTAGGGCCATATGCATTGCAAAGTTCAGATGACTGCTCTGGACTAGGTAAACGCGCGAAGTCGTCAATATTCTTCCGCAGAACAGTCTCACCCATGGTCCACAGGCTTCTTAGCCAAGTAAGCTTGGAACGACGGAGAAGAGCTGCCATACTAGGTGTTGCCATCATAACCGTTGCCTGTAATTCAGACACAACAGCTTCAAAATTTGTTAAGGTAAGGTCTCGTGATGCAGAACAAAGTGTGGCTCCTGTTGATAACGTCACGAATATCTCCATTAGCGAAGGGTCAAAAGTTGGTGCCGCAAATTGAAACCATCGTGGTATTCCTTCCGATGATGGTGGCAATGGTGAGGTGATAGCATGCGATGCAATGGAGCAAGCTGCTGCAAGATGAGTTATTTGTACCCCCTTTGGCTTACCCGTTGAACCAGAAGTATACATTATATATGCCACATCGTTCTCGTCAGAACTTGCCAGCACTCGAAATGATAGAGGATTTTGACCGGTTATGCCATCACGTAGCCGCATGTAAATGAAAGATTCAACATCGATCCATTTCAAAGAATCTGATAAAACAGCAGAAAGCTTATGACGATATCGCTCCGAACCCAGAATGATTTGAGGCATTATGTCTTCATGAATGTCCTGCAATCTCTGGGGAGGTGCCTCAATAGGAAGAGGGCAAAATGCCAGACCTGCTTTCAAAATTGCCAAATAGGCGATATAAAGTTCGGCGGAAGTCGAAAGCAGAACAGGCACAACTCTAGAGCTGCCAATTTCTTGTTGGCCTCGTGATATTAGGATATGCTCAGCCAGACTTGTAGCGATCTCATTTAGTTGTGTGTATGTGAAAGTTCTTCGAATAGTGGGTTTCGAGGCTGAATTCTGAGATTGCAGGAAATCCAACGCAACTCGGTTTGGATATTGTGCGACCCGGCGCTCAAAAGCTGAGTGTAAGAGAGCTTTTTCGTCTTGAAGATTCAAATTTACTTGATCCTCAATGAACGATGGTGGCCTAATCAGTGGCGGAAAGTTTAGGATCGATTCGTTCGTTACCTTTCCATCATCAATTGACGAAGAACGTCGTAAATAAGCAACAGCTGCGTCGAATATATGCGGAGCATCTGAGCCAGGTAGTAGAGATGTGTCGTATAGTAGAGAAAAGTCAATGATAGATGCATCCTCCACAGTAATGAAGATTGTGAAAGGTTTCTGTGTGTGTTAGTAGCGGTACCGCGTCTCGTTTTGAGATACTTACTATATCATATGGTATTCTCGAATCATGAGAATTTAAAGTTTTGGTAATGTGTAAAGCGAAATCGAGGGATTTCGTCGAATGGGGAATATCTTGAATGAACTCCCACGATATCGATGGGCGACTATCTCCGTCACTTGCAGATCCTTCTGTCAAGTGACCACGGATGATGCCACATTCTCGTGGATTGTCTGTAGTTGGGATATTTGAAGATAGATCAGATGAGGTGTAGATAGCAATCTCATCATGTCCTGTAAAGGCAGCAACAAACTGGGCATAAGACTCTTGGATTGTAGAATGATTGAAGTTCCATTCTCCCGATGGAAAAGTTTTCTTAATTGTCTTCAGTTGCGGTTCTGAACCATTTTCAGATTGCTTTTCGTCCAATTCTCTTCTAGACACATGTGAATCTGCGAGATTTCGATAAGCAGTGTCTAAAGATGGGAAAGTGGTGTTTGGGATGATGGGATCCATGATTTCGAAGATGTTGATGGTTGATGATGACATTATTGGTAGAAAGGATAATTATTCATGAAAAGAAGTATCAGTACTATGAATTTGACAAAGAATTTACTCGGCTTTTACTCACACTCACACTTACAGTATCAACTATTTTATAAATGAAAAGCATGGGACATAATCTTACAAAGAGAATTATTAGGATGCATGCTGAAGGGTAGCTCGAATCACTTGATCAAAAATTTCTCCCTATCGAGGTATGAATTGCCCAATGCCAAGATATATTGTGGAATCTCCATGTTGCAGAAATCAATATCCCGATCACGGCAAGAGCAGTAAGTCTTGGGGGCTCCGAGGAGTTGGGGAGTTTGACACTGGGTTCTGGTCACAAAGATATTGACTCAAAGATCTACTCGACATATTTGAGTCAAACTCCGGATGATAAATTTATTAGTCAATGACGGCGATCTAGCTAGGTGGAGATAAGAGGAATAGATATTTGCATCATCGTGCAGTAGGCATGTAAAAATGAAGGGTGACAGCTTAGTACGGGCTACTGTAGGTACTAATGAAGGTATTAGACTATAATATACCATTGACAATTAATTGTAATCTTACTTTATATTTTTATATTCATATAAGGATAGAAGCCCAGATGAAACTACTCTAAACCATTTTTTTACTATCATCTAATCTTGATTTTATTTAATTTGATCTGATAATCTTATAGCTTTATCAGATCCGTCAAACAATATAATACCCGAACTTCCACAGTGGAAGCTCCACTACCGTATGCATACTAGGCCCTATTTAAGATTTTTCTAGTCTAGGTCACTTGATCAGGTAAAGCTTTTAATTAGAAGATTGATATATGTGGTTTGAAAGTGGATGGAAATTCTTTTATCAAAGTATATAAAAAATTATTTATTTTTCTTTTACCTTTATCAAAGTTTTATATCTGATTTAATAATACAAATTTAAATTATACCCTTTAAGTGCTTAAGTGTTTTTATAAATTATTTAAATATTATCAATCCTGTTAAAAGGAATGACCTTACACAGGGAATAGTGGGAAGCTGATAGGGCAGAACTGAGGTAATATTGGTCTAGTATATTAATCACTCTTCATCTAAGTTCTACGGAAGTGCGAAGCTCTCCTACAGAGAGCTTCTCAATCTAGTCCTAATAGGACTAGTGCCTTGTGCACGTGCTACGCAGGAACCATTCATTTTAACAAATCCGAGATTTAATTTATTTCAATTTTATTAAACTAAAACAAATTTGAGTAAAAATTTTATAAAGTGATAAATTAATGAACTAAATATATATAAATAGAGTAGACTTTATATATTTTCTTATTAATAAGTTTATACGGATATATACACCTTCTCTTGGACTAACATTATAATATCATACCCAACTTAGACTCTAGACTTTATGCTTAACTGAAGTCTATTCTTACATCGCAGATAGCCATGAAGAATTTTCACAATACAAGTGGATGCAAAAATCCACATTTCACCGGTTAAACTACTTTATGCATATTCCCGTTTGACATTTGCCACTAAAAGCTAACAGAAGCTTGTAGTGAACAAGAAGCTGCTGGTCAATGTCCTAGCTCAAACCCCTTTTGGACGAAAGCCCCGCTTTTTCTACGCTTAGTTTTCTGTAATCTTATCAGATCATCTCGTCTAATCAAGCAAACAGGAGAAAAGCAGGGATATGTGAAAGAGAAATTCAACCACCGATGTCGGTTCCCATTTTTAATTACTTGTCAGAAGTTTTCATTACTCAATGTACCCTCCTTGGTATGCATCAAATTTTCACTAGTTATGTTCATCTTATCAGATAATCTTATCAGATCATCTAATCAGATCAAACACATGACTGCAAAAGGCCATGTCTTGTCTTCCAAATTCGTTAAAGGAAAAGTAGTATACGTACTATGTGGAGTCATAAACTCTAATCCATGTTTTTGGCGACATCATTCATCTCCATTATACCGCTTCTGTCATTATTGGAAAGGGGTCGAATTAAACTGCTGTGTTCCATCTCCTTACAATGCATGTGCTATGCACTCCATTTTTCATGCCCAGCTTTGTGAATGGATTTTTGTTATGTAAGAACACTACTCCATCACCCAGGGTGCCACTCTCGGGCGGATTGTAGACTGAAATTTCATCGCTTGTCAAAGCAAAGACTTTCTGTTGATTCAACTGCATGGTGTTGTGTCTTCGACATTTGAGTTCTGCAACAATCATCCATTTTGGTTGCAGTCATGTCAAAACTTTCGGCGCTGAAGGATCGCATCGTCGGTTTACCCTCCAAGTTCACTGGTGCCGAAAAGCAAAGCGGACAATACTTGCGTCTTTTACTCTCGAGCGACCCAGAACCCCTTGATTATGTTCTCCTTGTGGTTGGATTTATCGGCTCGGTTGCTTCTGGGATTCCATTTCCGCTACTAGGTATCTTATTCGGCCAACTAGTAGATGACCTCAATTCGACATCTTGTAATACTTCCTCAGCTGATACATCGTCACTCACCAATGGCGTCGTGACGAAAGTGTTAGATGTCATTTACGTGACAATCGCAAATTTCTGTTTGATTTATATACATACTGGGTGTTGGAGTCTTCTAGGTGAGCGCCTAGTTAGACGCCTGCGAATGAGATACTTGGATGTTCTTCTACGTCAGGAAGTGGCATTTTTCGATACTTTACCATCCGGTGAAGTAGCTTCACGTCTCGATGTCGATCTTCAAACCATTCAAACAGGAACTTCTGAGAAGGTCGGAATATTCATTGCCAGCATCTCTTATTTCGTCGCCTCATATGTTGTGTCTTTCATCAAGAGTCCAAGATTGGCGGGTATGCTCATCTCTTTGGTACCAGCCTATCTTTTGATGGCATTGGTGGGAGGACACTTCACTCAAAAGTATGCAGGCCGAGTTTCAGACCACGTAGCAGCAGCTACGGCTATTGCTTCAGCAGGGCTGTCAAACATGTCCCTGGTTCAAGCTATGGGTGCCAGTTCTCGCTTGGAAGCTGTATACGCTCGTCATATTGGTGCAGCACAGAGAGAAGGAATCATGAAATCTGTTGTTGCATCTGTACAGCTTGGTTGTTTGTACTTTATTGCTTACTCCGCCAACGCACTCGCTTTCTGGCAAGGAAGCAGAGAAATCGCTGCCTCTGCTGAAAGCGCATCTGGGACAACAGTGGGAGCTGTATACACCGTCATTTTCCTCCTTGTTGACTGTGAGTTACTCATAAACCTTGTTTGGAGGTCCTTGCTAATAAAATATAAGCCTCTTTCATCGTTAGTCAAATTGCTCCTTTCATGCAGATATTTGCAGCAGCTAGTAGCGCATTCATAAAGTTGGTTGCAACGATCAATAAGCCGTCTTTAATCGATGGAACAACCACAACGGAAGGTCAAATCTTTACTACAATACCAGGGGATCTGCAATTCAGGAATGTGGATTTTGCATACCCATCGCGACCTGAAGTGGTGGTCCTCAAGTCATTCAGCTTGAGAATCCCAACCAACAAACACACTGCACTTGTCGGTCTCTCTGGTAGCGGAAAATCTACTGTTGCAGCTTTAGTTCAACGTCTTTACGATCCGATCCACGGTGATGTCTTCCTCGGTGAACATAATATGAAAAGCATCAATGTCAAGTGTGCGAGAAGTTTCATTGGAACAGTCGCTCAAAATTCGACACTTCTCGATCGATCAATACTCGAAAATATCGCCTATGGTTTGGTTAATTCGCCACTTCCAGAACATGTTGAGCTTAGAGAGACATTATTAGATTCAAGCTTACCAGATCTTGCTCATGCCATCCGTGAAGGTGCGAATCCTGAAGAGGCTATTGCCGCTAGCTCAAGCAACGTTAAGACAATAGTCAAACTTGTGCGAGAGGCAGCGACAGAAGCTGATGCTCTTGGATTTATTGATCGATTGCAGTACGGTATGTCTACAGCCGCTGGCCCTGGAGGTAATCGACTTAGTGGTGGTCAAAAACAACGTGTCGCATTGGCTCGTGCTATTGTTCGCCGTCCATCGATTCTACTGCTCGATGAAGCGACTGCATCTTTAGATTCTGCCAGTGAGCATTTGATACAAATGGCTTTGGAAAGAGTTAGTGAAGGAAGGACCACCATCTCAATTGCCCACAGACTATCAACAATCAAGAACGCAGATAATATTGTGGTTATGAGTCAGGGTGAGATCCTTGAGCAGGGTACATATCCTGATTTACTTGCTCGAGATGGCGCTTTCGCAAACTTAGTCCGACTCCAGACTCTTTCTTCCTCTGATGAACCGATATCTGAGATTCACACCCAGGATCTCAATGATAATGAAGAATATCTGCAAGAAAAGGTTGATAATACTGTTAGTTACTCGTACAGCTTTTAAGATTTCATACTAACCGACACAGGAATTAACAAAGGGGGTCAAGTCACTAGACAATGCACGAAAATCTACGCCAGTTGCAGATCACAGCGACTCTGACGAAACACTCACGCCCAGAAACGATAAAGCTGCAACTAAAGGCCGATCATTCCTCTCTACATTCCTTGGTATTTTATCTATGTCTAGACCACATTTACTATTTGTATTCTTGGGTATCGCCGGTGCTGTTGTAGTAGGTGGCTCATATTCTGGCGAAGCTGTACTTTTTGGTCACACAGTCAGCAGTTTAAGCCCATGTCTCAGCGCAGCCAGTATCCGTAGTAATGGAAGTCTATACGGGTTGTTGTTTTTTGTTTTGGCTTTGGCGGAATTCTTTGCCAACGTTATCAGCGCATCTTCTTTCGGTCGTGTTTCAGAGAAGCTACTCTATCGTGTCCGTGTTTTGGCACTCAAGTCTCTTTTCGCACAAGATATTCAATGGCATGAATCAGAAAATAGGAGTCCTGGTACACTTATCTCGTATATCAGCAGTGATGCAAATGCATTAAGTGGTATCACTGGAACTCTTCTTGGAGTTATGCTGTCGATTATTGTTTCCATGGTCTCTGGAATCATCCTTGCACATGCCGTCGCGTGGAGAATTGCTGTTGTACTGCTTGCCACCATACCCGTTCTACTTTCATCTGGGTTCTTAAGATTGAAAATTCTCGCCAAATTCCACGAAAGGCATCAAAAGGCTTTCTCTAACTCGGTCGCTATTGCCACCGAGGCTGTTTCGGCTATTAAGACAGTTGCGATCTTTTCACTTGAAGAAGAAACTGTCCAGGTTTTTAACCGATCGCTAAAAGGTCCTTATACCGCAACACTAAAGACAATTGCGTACGGAAACTTCTGGCTCGCCATGGCTTACAGTATGAGTAACTTCGTTTACGCACTAGCATACTGGTGGGGAGCTCGAAATGTCGCAGAAGGACGTTATAATCAACAACAATTCTTCACAGTTCTACCTGCTCTTCTTTTCAGTGCCCAACTGTGTGGACAAATGTTTTCTCTCGCTCCTGATATTTCTAAAGCCGGAGTATCCGCAGCACGAGTTCTTGATTTGATAGATATTGGCCCTGAAGGTCTCCTCCAATCTAAGAACAACCGGGCAACAAATGATCCGGAAGCATCGCAAGGAATGATTGAGAAACAACCCATCAGATCAGGTGGTCTCGCCGTACGCTTCAACAATGTTCGTTTCTCCTACCCCGCTCGCCCAGACATCGAAGTTCTCAAAGGCCTCACCATAAATATCACTCCTGGTACATTCTGTGCGCTTGTTGGACGTTCTGGAGCCGGTAAATCAACCGTCATTGCTCTTCTTGAACGTTTCTATTCTCCATCATCAGGCAGTGTCGAAATTGACGGTCGAGACATTTCCAAGATCGACGGCGTCTCATTCCGCGATGATATTGCACTTGTTCCCCAGGAAAGTGTCCTATTCGATGGCACCGTCCGCTTTAATCTCGAACTTGGCGCTCGCACCGGGCACACCCCAAGCATGGGGGAAATTGAGTCTGCATGCAAATTAGCCAACATTCACGATACCATTGTCTCACTACCCGAAGGCTACGAAACCCCCTGTGGTTCAAATGGAGGTCAATTTTCCGGCGGTCAACTTCAACGTCTCTCTATTGCTCGAGCATTGCTTAGAAAGCCACGCTTATTACTTCTTGATGAGTCGACTTCGGCTCTTGATGCTGAGTCTGAGAAGTTATTTGAGGAGGCATTAGAAAAGACAGCAAAAGGTGTTACGGTTATTGCTATTGCTCATCGATTGAGAACTATCAAGAAGGCGCAGACGATCTTTGCAATTGATGGAGGTATTTGCGTGGATCAAGGGAGTCATGACGAATTGGTGCTTAGAAATGAGGAGTACAGAGCTAATGCTGCCTTTCAGACGTTGTGAGTTAATGTAGTGGCAGAAAGGAATCAAGGGCATTGGTGCTTAATGAGGAGGGCCGAGGTTGGAGTCTAATTGAAAAATGTATATGGATAGAATGGGTAGTATTTGCATCTTTATATCGATCAACCAGGCACATTACGGTGTTTGGCTTTCAAAAAATCACACAAAAATTATTCCTTTTCTTGTAATCTTACTCTACATGTATCAATCACACTTTGGCCTGGTCTTGGACCAAAAACAAATTTATCGATATATCTATCCATCTATATACTTTAGCACACTATACATACATTAATCGACATATATAGACAGGATTTACCTTACTGTACTTCATTTTAGATATATAGCTTTCTCAACTCTCTATTCTCAACCCTCTATCCTCAACCCCCTACTCCCAATCCCTGCTTTGAGCCTATAATATCGTAATCTTAAATACATACACAATCCCACCATACCTTGTCTCCCCTCTCCTCTCTCCATAAACCCCAAACATAAACAAATATATTCCTTAACCCTTCCATCCTATACAAAAATTCCGACTCCAAATTTTCGCCATACTGACCCTCCCTCTAGTAAAATATATCTCTATACTCCTCAAAAGAAATACACAACCAGTACCCGCCCTCCCCATTCTCCCACTCCCCACTCCCAACTCACTGTTTTTTTTTTTTTTTCTTTACAGATAAAAAATAAAATTATCAAATAATTATCATATTTATATTTATATTTATATTTATATTTATATTTATATTTATATTTATATTTATATTTATATTTATATTTATATTTATATTTATATTTATATTTATATTTATATTTATATTTATATTTATATTTATATTTATATTTATATTTATATTTATATTTATATTTATATTTATATTTATATTTATATTTATATTTATATTTATATTTATATTTATATTTATATTTATATTTATATTTATATTTATATTTGTATTTATATTTGTATTTATATTTGTATTTATATTTGTATTTATATTTGTATTTATATTTATATTGCTCAACTAACTGAAACCAAAACAGTTGAGATTATTCATTTCATTCATCCATCCATCCATCCATCCATCCATCCATAATACTTCACAACCAATTTAATCTTAAAATATAAACCTAGTCCCATCCACACCCTTCACCCTTCATCCAACACCACCAGATGTTAACTTCCTCATCACCCAACCCTCAAAGCTAGAAACTACAAATTACCTATATAACTATAGCTCAAATATCCTCCTCTCCTCTTCCTACTCTCCAATTCCACTCCCATTCCCCATCCACTCACATCTACACCCCTACAAAAACAAACAAAACGCCCAAAGTCAAAAGCAGCACAGCACTCAACCCAATTACATCTACAAGTAACTCTCCTACAAGTAACTCTCCTTCAAATAACTCTCCTACAAGTACTCCGACTCCCCCCTCCACACCTATATCTCATTCCCTCATTCCATCTTCCCTCATCCCTTTACCCTCCATCCCCCTTCCACATATAAAACACATCATCACTCAATGAACCCAATTATTATTTCATCATTTATTATTTAATCATTTTATCATCATTTCTTCTTATTCATCATCTCATTTTATCCATTTTCCACATTCTATCCATCTTGCATAGACATTGATTGAGCATCTTAACCATTTTGAAGGAACCACCCACCATCCATCCATCCATACCACGCATGCTTCCATGATTCCATGCATCCATGCCAAAACCATCCCACCGGTCGTAGATTTTAGATTTTAGAAAAATCTCAATTAATCCCAAAAGCAATACAAGTCCAAGTCCAATCCGAAAGTTATAGTCCTTTATCGCCATACCATAATCTGCTGTCCATGACCATTTCATGCTAAATTTTCCGTTTCATTTTCACTTCGTTTTCGTTTTCGTTTCGTTTCCATTTCCATAAATCATAAAACATAAACATAAAAACACTCACTCTCCCACACTCCCTCCAATATACTCTCCTCTCTCCTCTCTCTCCCTCCTTTTCCCCTCACCCAAAACTAATGCAACCTCTCCTTCAAAACCACCACCGCCGCCCAACCCTCACAACACCTCGTACTCATACCATGACCACACCAAGGACAACTAACCCTCGTACTAACCACACCACTAACCCCCAATCCCTCATCCTTAACCACCGCCTCCGGTTTCGCCATACACTCATAAAGTTTACTCGGCAAATCATGAAAATATTTGCATCCACAACAAATAACAAACATTTTTGCCATTGGTTCAATACCACCTTGTCCGTTGCTATGAGACTTTGAGCTGATGAAGTTGCCATTTGATGCGCCGAGGCACGAGGACTTTTTTGGGAGGAATGGCGAGACGCGC